GAAGAATCTCACTGATCTCGTTATCCATGTAAACGCGCCGCAGATCGTTTCGAAGCGATACGCTCAAGCGGCATCTGCAGCCGACAAAGAGGAGAACGCTCCGGCGACACAGGGTCTCCTTGCCAGGTCACCGTGTCCCCGCGAACGGGCTGGGCCGCGCTCGCCGCTCACTGCAGCGAGTCAGAGCACGAGGGCGAGGTCCGCCTCAGCGCGGAACCATGATCGAGAATTTCGCCTGTTGGCCGCGCACGCGGGTGGGACCAGGTGCCTGGCAGATTCCATCTGGACGGTGAAAGTAAGGACAGCTGTAGAGTCCAGGTCATGGTGGTCTCGGTCATGAAGGCCATTTTATGGCAGCTGTAAGAGAGGGAAATGCACATTTTCCCAGAGCCCGTGGAAAATAACGTTCTTTCTGAATGAGAGGCGATTGTGCAGCTATTTCGTTCGATGTTGTACGAGATCGTGAAGAGTGTGAGCAAATTTAAGATCTGAGTTTGTTCTCGTTTTGACCATGTGTGGTGCTTTTTCAAAAGGTTAACTTTGACAGCGGTGTGTGGGAAGAAAAAATCCCGAAATTCATTTACATCACCGGCTCTGTTAAGGTTTTGCTTGTAAATCTGACCTAGCACTGACGGAGGTATATAGCCACTTTCGAGTCCGTGGAACGGGGAAGGACTTTTTCCCGTACATCTCTCTAAAACTAATGGACTGGTATGTTGGTTGTAGGAACAGGCGATAGTTTTAGATCTAACGCCACAGAAAGCGATCCATGCTCTCCGACTGCACGATCACCAGCAACGCCGCGGTTCGAAGCGAGTAAAAATAATGCGGACACTGTACAATTATATGCTACTTGTAAGGTAGCAGAAGCTTCATAGCTCGGATGTTCCAGCAATGTATTTACATGCACGTTGAATCACAGAGCCACACAGCCAGTCCTCACTGGGATAACTGATCTTAAGTCAACGCAGCCCCAGAATAGAGTCCGAAGATCAAACTCTGGCTTTGTGCATCTTTCGTGATCGAAATATTGCCAGTTAACGAGTTACGGGTCAAATACGGGTTCCCTCACGCATCTTCTTATTCCTGTCACCAATTAGATGAAATATGTGGATGAGGCTGCAGGTCAAAGAAGGTCACGTAGTGCGCGAGGAAGATAACAACCGAATTATATGTTCAAGAGGTGTAACAACGCCAGTAAATAAAACCGCCTTCGTTAAATCGCACGAATGACATGTTGGGACTTAAATCGTGTAACCTATCACCAAAAATACATTGTGCCTGACAGAGCACAACTTGTGCAAATAAGTTTTAAAGCAATGTAGACAAAGTGGCATTTGATAAATGCAGAAAATATGAGGCTAATGAAGACAAGAGGAAAATATCAGATTATTTGCGTTTTATGAAGAGTTATATCAGAGAACCACTGGGGTTTGCCACCAAATGTCCGACAGTGACAGCGATAGCTAGTGATAAGCGGTGATGGCAGTGATAAGCGGCTGGAAAAAATAATTGACGCATATCATTGATTGACTTTCAATCCGCCTGCTTTTTATGCTTGTGTGTAACGAGCCGATATCCTCCGGAAATGAGTCACAACCAATCAAGTATAACTAAACTGAACACGCGACTCGCCTACCGGAGTGTTTGTGGTGAACGCGGGCTGCGTATGTAAGCACTGATGGGGGGCGTGATCCGCATACCACACATCTGTTACGCTACCAGCCACGGCAACGGCGGATAACTCTTCAAATGGATGTGTGCAGCCAAAAGTTGTGGACATTTCTATTTAGTCTACAAGACGCATTGGTAATTTGGTGATGGTAATAGTGATTGATGTTCGTCGTTATCTCTCGCGAGTATTCAGGGACTGACAGATGTGGTTCAGTTTTGTAACACAAGATGGAACACAAGACATTTGGGGGTCTGGTGACCATTGTTATCGGACGCGAATGCCTGGAGGATATTTGCTAAATGATGGCATTGTTAGTAACCCAGATTTGTGAACATTAATTGCATGTCCCCAGAATTATTGTCCAAGCTTATGAAATCCGCGTTGGAAGGACATTGTAATGCAGGTGCGATGGCTCAACTACTCGGTTCCTTGGTTCAGCCGTTATTTCAGTCGATGAATGCTGTCGACGGAATGTGCCGGGCCGGTGTATTCTGGCCTCTCCAGTACATTAGGAAACTCTTGTGGGGTGAATACCGTGAATCATGATGTTTTCCTGTCGCATCACGCATTTACCTCTCAGCACAAATGCATCCAGACCATGGGTACGTTCATTCCAGTCAACATGCTCTTGTATCGTGCCTCCCAGTGAGACGAGCTTCTCCACCAGTCAAAAACAAATTGTCCTTGTCAGTGTTGCGACGGCCGTCGGTGTTGATCGACAGGAGGACGACCGACGGGACGTCGGCGGGGCTGGGCGGCACACTGTGTGGCGTACCGTCGTGCGGCGCCGCGACCGGACGCGGCCCTGCCCCACTGCCACGCTCCAGCCGCAGCGGGTGACCCGTACCGCGCCGCCGAGGCCCGCTTTCATAACCCCGCTTGACCTGCTTAGATGCGCTGCGATACCGCCGCCGTGATATGTCAAACCACGGTACAAGCCAAAAAAGATTAGTCAGATCAACATCAGCGACCGGCGCAACTCCTGCGCGGCGGCTGCTGCCAGTATGGCACGTGGACTTGGCTGAGCGCGTCTCGCGCGTGGCGCGGCTTTGGACGCTGCCCCGGCCTGGAGCGTCCGGAGCAGATGAGTGCAGAGAGTCTCATCAGATCCGAATGCCAAACTCCAACGGCATCATCAAAGAGGGTGGTCCATGTTGAAGAGGGGAATAGGGCAGCCATGAAAAGTGAGTTGCGATGTTTGTTCTCCCGACAATATGAATTATGGCTGGCGGGACGCTCTCTATACGGTCACATTACCGTCCGTCGACCTCCGTCCATGCCCCAAGCAACTGGTGGATTAGCCTGGTTCATGTCATCCGTTTCCCGCATACATTGGTGCGAAGAAATAGCTTTCCACTGTGCATGGCAGGTACCGCCGAGAGCTTCATATCAAGGTATTTTTAGGCCTTTCTATGCATTTTTACAAGGCATGTCAGGGCCACTAGCCGAGGACGAGCCGTTATTTTAACCGGCCACCGAATATTAACAGCATGCCTTCCCTCCACGCCCTTCGCCCGCTATTACCCGGCTGATGGGGGCGTTTTTCACCTTGATGGTCCTTCTAAGGGGCGCACGATGCATGACTCACAGCCCTTTGGACCGGGCTCGTCGCGGTATGGGCCGGCTGGGAGCCGCGCGGGGCCGCCTGTCGCCTGGGAGCCCCGCCCTCCAGCGACGGCCGCACAGCCCGCCACGCGCTGCCTCCCGGCGGCAGCCCGCGGTCACCGACGGCCTGCTGCCGTCGGACGGCCGGAGCCGTAATATACCGGCATGTTCAGATTGTCTAATTCCATTAGGGCGCACGCGAGCCAGCCCCAGGGGAGGCCCCGGTGTCAGCGGATGACGCGGCAGCCATAGCTCGGGGCCCGGGGGCGGCCGGCTCGCGTGTCGCTCCTCATTAGGTCAGACGGCCTGGCGTCGGTCGGCCCGGCCGCGGCGGAGCCCGCGCGTACCTGCGCGCTGACGGCCGTGTACGCGAGCCGTCGGCGCGGCCGCAGCACTCTGCTGACAGTGGGGAACGACAGGGATGCGGCTTTTTGTTCTTGGAGCGGTTGTCAGGAGCAGCATCACGGTATAGTTCGAAGTCAACTTGTGTGATTTCGTAACCCGGTTATGAAATGATCATGTGGGGCCTGCTCATCGTTAAAACCAGAGGGAGCCAAGTGCTTTCTGCTTGCCATGCTGATTGAACGATACGAGAAACGCGCTCCAAGCAACCCATATTTTCAGGATAATCGGTACCCAAGGCTCCATGTAAGGTAGAGGGCGGAACAGGCCAAACAGCGCCTGATGAGGACCTGTGCAACCACAGCAAAATGCGAAATGCATCAGGTCTGGCATCAGAGTTGGCAGCAGCAGCGACAGCGGCACAGACACCGCGGGCGAGGGCTGGGGGTGGATGCTTGGTAAGATGGTTCAAGCCGACGCTGGCTGGTGGTGACCTCGCTGGCCCGTGAGCTCCTGACGCCGCGCGGCAGCTGGCGGCACCGGCCAGAGCCGCCGGCAGCCCGCCCGCCCGCCACCCGCCCCTGCCCGCTTATTGTTACGGCGGTTGTGAAATCAGTCAATGACTAGTTAATTGGTCGTATTTAACAGGGCGCCGTTAATGCACTATCTTTAGCCGTCTGGGGCTGGCGGTATATGTGGGGCATAAAAAGCTGGGCGATCCTTGTCGTTGGCAGTAAAGCCGAGCCAGTAGCGCCGGCGCGGCTGGCCGGTCGGCAGCGGGCGGGCGGCGCCTCAGGCGCCCCGCTCGCCGGGCAGCCCCGCCCGGAAGCCGGCGGAACCGGACAGCCTTGGCGGAACGGAGCCACTTCCGCACCTGGTCATCCTCCGGGCCCGGTCGCCAGGGCGCCGAAGACGCCGCTGGTCCGGGGCGCGACGGCCCGCGCCCGCACACACGCCCTGCTGCCAATAGTGTGTATTCGACTGTTAGCACAGCAGCGCTACGCTCCTGCATGTACAGCGAGTGCGACGCCGCGGCGGCGAGGGCGCGACCCTCGCGGCGCGCTCGCCGTCGGTCGCGCTTCTACCGCGCCGCTATAATATCGCCCGATGTTCACTCGAACGCCTCATTATGGCAATCGCGCACATTTGGTAACAGGGAATGGTAAACCGAGGCGGCTGTCGCACGGTCGCCGCGACTCAACGTGCGACACCCGGGCGTCGCGAGCGAACATTTTTTGGGTTTTGTACACTTGACAAAGCTCACATATATAGACATTCGCACGAACGAGAGGACAAATGCTGCATGCCACGAGCAAACAATGGATCACATGATATCTCAGCCGCACTGGGACGCAGTCCGAATATGTGTGTGAGATCGTCACACCGTCACGTGCCTCTTCATGTGCAGCGAAAGGTGATCTGACCGCGAGAAGGCGCGGTCGCACAGCCGGCACTGGAACGGCCGGTCGCCCGTGTGTTTGCGGAAGTGCCGCGTCAGCTCGTCACTGCGCGCGAACTTCCAGTCACAGTCCTTCCACGTGCACTGGAAGGGTTTCTCGCCCGTGTGGGTCCGTTGGTGCGCCTTCAGGTGCGACGACTTGGTGTACACCTTGGTGCAGCCGGGGTACTGGCAGGCGTGCGCGGTGTGCGCCGCCGCCCGCTGGCGCTCTTGCTCTTGCGCTTGCCGTCCTCGGCCGGCGGTGGCAGCTGGTTGAGGAAGGCCGGGTGCTGATGCGTGGCCGCCTTGGCGCCGGCGCCCGCCGACAGCAGCTCGGCCAGGTTGGGCGATGAGGGTGGCGTGATGAGGCGCACGGTGGGGGCGGCGGCGCCCGGCCGGCCGCCCAGGGCCGTCAGCTCGACGGTGGCGCGCGGCAGCTTGTCCGTCTCGGGGCTGGCGGGAGGCGACATTTGCGGCGTGCCGCCCGGCACCGACACCATCGCCACCAGGCCCGTGTACACGGGGCTGAAGCTGGCCGCCGGCAGCTGCATGCTCACGCCGTTCAGCTCGAAGTCGCCCTGCAGACCGGGCAGTGGCTGCGGTGACGGCGACCGCTCCTCGCCGCCGGCCAGCGGCGAGCCACTCAGCACGAGTTTGGTCTCGACGCCCTGCGCCACGGCCTGCACGCTGCTCGGGTAGCCGAGATGCTGCTCGGTCGCCCGGCTGATGAGCGAGTCCAGGTCGACGAAGTCGCCGCCCCGCTCGCTGGCGAAGTCGGTCGCCGCGAACGGGCCGGGCTCGGGCCGCGCCGCCTCGGCGAACGGCGCGCAGCTCGTGAAGCCGTCCGTCGCGAACGGCGCGGCCGCCTTGAACTTCTGCTCGCCGAGCAGCGGCTGGTGGTCAGCCTGCAGTGGCAGCGCCTCGGGGAAGGCGCGCTCGGCGCCCGGCGAGTCAACCTCGCGGTACGGCGGCCGCTCGGCGGCGCCGTGCTCGGCGAACGGCTCCTTCTTGAACTCTTCGCCGTCAGGCCCCGCCGGTGGCGCCATGAAGTTCATGTCGATGCCCTCGGGAGAGTGTGGCGTCGAGTAGCCGGGCGACTCGGTCGGCAGCGGCGAGTCGTCGTCGGCCAGCCCGGGCGAGCGGTACCCGCCCTCGACGCTCGGGCCCTCGAAGCTGTGCATCAGAACGTTCTCGATGTCCTGCCAGGCCTGCGGGGCAGGGACGGCGGGGTCAACGGGGCAGGACCGACCAGGTGTAGTACTGTGGCGCGCCGCCAGCGAGCGACGCCGTGGCCGGGCAGCCTTGGCCGCACCGCCTCGTAAGACACGTCCGCAGATACTATCAGCAAATATCCGAAGGCAGGCATCAGTAAGTCGCTGTTGGCCGTGCATAAATGCATCCACACAAATCGAAAGCTCATTAGGATGGCTGACGGGTGGTCCGCGCTTCAAGTTTACGGCCGTATCAAAGGGCTCCTACTTTTCGCGGGGCTAATCATGAGTCGATAACTAGCTGCCTCGTTAGTAGCCGGATAGCGATCGCATGTCAATGCGAGGGCGACCGTCGAGGCGACAGGCGGCGCTGAGCTATTCGTCATGCAGTCAACATCATGCGGGTCGCGGCACAATAAAGGCCTAATGGGCGGGTGTGCCGGAGCCGGTGGGGCCGAGCCGCAGGTAGCGCGAAGCGACGTCAAGTGACACATTCCGATTACACGGTCGCGCCTGCCCGACACCGTTTTACCGACGCCAGGCTGTTGGGCAACATACCGCACGTTGCGATTGCACCCGTAAACTCCGTTCGAACAAAACTCAATTCCCACGATAAGCGCTCTGTGGTGACGTAGCCGACCACGTCAGCGGCGCCGGCGGCGTCGGCTGCGCTGGCGCCGCGCCGCGGCCCGCGGCGATGGCCCACTGCACAGCTGCAGGCCCGCCGTCGCCCTTCGCGGACAGCTCGGCCTGGGAGCCCCGGGAGCCGACGCCCGGGCCGCGCTCCGCCCCCGTCGGCGTGCTGGAGCGTGCTCGTCCATAAGAGCGGTGCCTGCACGTGCTCACGCGCCGCAATTGTCTGCAGGTGCTCGTTACCCACGGGATGAGAGGCGACGGCGAATGGGCGCCGGACGCAGAGAGTGCAGGCCAATTGCCGCTCGGTCGGCCGTCGGCGGCCATTTCACGTGCGCGCTCTATCGACGGCGTCATGATTACGGTTGTTATTTGTTCGTGCGGTGCCGCGCAGCCCGTCAGCCTGCGGTTTGTGGTCGTGCTTAAGCCGCGGCGCACTGCAACTGGAGTCCGATCCTGCTTATCGGCGGCGAGCAAGGAGCTCACGCTTGGAGAGGTCAGTGTTCGTGGATGGCTCGGGAGCTCACCGGGGCGCGCCTCGGGGCAGCACGCCCGCGTCCGGTGCCCCCCCGCTTGAGAAACGCTATCTCCGACGGAATGTAATCCAACCTCGTTCGACCGGCGGTAGCCGTCGCGTTGCGAAACGTCCGCGGGTCGATCGGCTGGTGGTCCCGCTTCGATGTGAGGCGACCGCGCCACCACGCTGTGTGATCTATGGAGTCCCTATTGAGGTGTGTTTTATAAATACATATGAGGCGGTATGAAGAGATCAGTGCTGATTGATGAAGATAAACCGCTCGGCAGAGGTGTGACGCAACACATCCTAAATCTCATTAATCACGCGGCGGTTAATGGGTGGTGTCGGTTAATGGGGGTGTGAGCCGGACGAAACGGTCGATCGAGGTGACCTTTGAATCTCGAGCGCGGCGAACCCTGCTTTCCATTTAAACACCACCATTATACCAGGAGCCACCTCCGGCATCCGCACGTTCAGGAACACATGGCGTGCTGTGGGCCCTGGCCCTGAACGTGTAATCGAACCCAATCATCCCCCTGATTTGGGTCGCTGACTCCAGACCCACTCCGGGTATATAATATATGTGCACTGTCCTGAGCGAGCGTAGGGTTTTTCGTCTTAGACAGGCATTGGGGAAGAGAGTCGTTTTCATCTTGAATGAGTGATGCCGTTGTCCAGAGTGACCGGGTTTCGAAGCTCATTATAGATGTGTTCAGCGATGCAGCTCATGATACCGTCCTCCAAACCTTTCCCAACACAACCAGTTACATTACGGGTTATTTCACCGACATCAAAATCGCCCAGGCTACACAAACATGCCGTGAAGGACAGTTGGGTGCCCGCCAGAATGCGTGTTGGTGATCATATGTAGCTAGCGACAGTGCGACAGATCTCGGAGAAGCGTGAATTTACAATGGTATGCCTGGTGCGAGTCATAGCTATCTGTAGCAGACTTTTCGTTCACAGCCGTAAGAGCAGCTGGAAGCTGCTGCCAGCTTTTTAGCCTTGTGATATTGTAGGAACACTGCTCGCTCGTAGCTAGGTGTAACGACACCATAGTTCAATGCAAGAACAAGCTGTACTGTCTCCTGCACAACTTTTTGCGCTTGACGCAACGCCACAATACATGCTTTTAGATATGCGCTGCAAAGAAGTTTGTTGCGTCATCACCAACAAAATAACTGACGCGGAATGTGGCAATCAGCACCGGAAAAAGACATTTAATGCTCGTTTTTGGTGTGTTCAGTTGGTAAAAGCTTACTTTTATAATGCAGCCCAGTTCGCTGAGCGTCAACTAGAAAATCCCCATCTCATCACGAGGGGGATGCATGACTTGGGTCGGCCGGCGGCGGCATGACTCGAGCCAGTCATCGACTCAGACCAGCCAGCGACTCGGGTCAGCCAGCGACGGCATGACTCAGGTCAGCCGGCGACGGCATGACTCGGACCATCCATCGACGGCATACCTCGGGTCAGCTAGCGACGGCGTGACTCGGGCCGCTCGCTGCGCGGTGTGGCCGAGCGGCGGCGCGTCGGCCGGACCAGGAGCGTCACGAGGCCGCACGCCGACCTTGCATGCCAACTCGGCGGGCCGTGACGCGCCGGGCACGACGCGCATTTGTGCCTGGCCGGCAGCCAGCCGGCGGCTGGGTCAGCGGCCGCCCCACGGCCGAGCCATCCCCCAGACGGCGGTCACGGCACGCCGGCACGCGACCCCCCCCCCCCCCCCCTCGCCCTCCCCTCGCCCGCGCCAGACCCCGCCGGCAGAGCGGGTGTGTAGGCCGTAGGATGTGATGGCCGTTAATAAGATGTACGACAAGTGAAGGGAGAGGCCGGGTACCTGGCGGTCGTGGTCTCTCCTGTGCTCACGAAAGGTGGCGGGTTCTGCGAACGGTTAGTCGGTTTCGGGCGAACGCGCCCGTACGAGGGTACCTGCGCCCTGCCCGGCCACGTATGTCTTTCTTCGCCAGAGCGTGCTTCTCACTCTTTGGCCAGCTCCGAACTGCGCAACTGCGCGGAGTCCAGCGTTCGTCTCGCCAGCCAGACACAGCAGATGGACACACCGACTGGGTCACTGTCCGCTCCACTGAATGCGGCAACGGAAACACCGACTGGGCCCTCTGGCCACCCCGCCAGACACAAACTCTAGTAACAAGAGTTGCCTCAGCTCCCGTCCGGTACGTAATATCTATGCAGTACCCGACACCCTCGCTTGGGTCGCTGTTCAACCCACTAAACGCAGACGACGGCCTCGGGCCCTCTGGGTCCCTTTTTGACCCTGTTGGATACGAACCGACAGAATCCGGTAACGGGGTCTGGGTCCCGCCTGACCCAACGACACGCGCCGAGACTGCGTTTGTCTGAAGCAGTGTCCAATCCGCCGGACACAGACAGCTGCCGGCAGCGCTCGACATCTCTGTCAGCTGATCCAATTACCCGTGATCGAGGCATTTCATACCAGATCAGCCCGCATATCAAGCCCAGCCGACAGACATACCAGCGGCGGATAGGATGGCTTGGCGGCGATCTCGAGTCGTTTTTCCTCGAAGCGTGCTGAGATACCAGTCGAGATCGGAGTTCTGACCGCTAATGGCGCATGCCATCTAACCGATAGCAAGTTTGAAATGTTCCCACAGCTGGGAGGACGCTGTGCAAGGAAAACGAATGCCGCTTCGCCGTTCGCAACGCCGCACAACGTCGTCGAGACATCACCGGTGTGAGCTACCTTACTAAAAAAAAAAATGAACAGCGAAATCAACGCATGACTGCTTCTGCCGTGGTTTCCGTGACACCCGGATGCACTTTTGATGCAGCGCAACGTCGCCGTGTTTTCCATCCCCCGTGTCACGCAGCTCCGGTGCGGGGCCGACCCGCAGGCCTGAGCCCCGAGCCCGGCCCAGCGCGCCGCGCTCGGTCGGCGCCGCCGTACTACGCCCGCTGGCCGCGCGCGCCGCCCGGGCCGGACGCGCGTCCGTGACCGCCGACCGTCATCGGATGACGGATGGGCGCCGCCGCCGCCGGCGCGCGCCGACGACGGGGATCGAATCCGGCCGCCCCCCGTCGTCGGCGATAATGGAGGACACGCGCCCGTCTCCGACGATGTTAATGAGAGAAATCGCGAGCAGCGCGCGCGCGCTCGTCTACGTCTCGATCCCGGCCCTCCGAGTGTCCCCTCCTCCCCCCGCCCCCGGCAGTGGCCGTGGTCGATGGCCCACGCGCCGGCGGTGGTTCAGTTCGTGTGCGACTGTTAGGTCTCCGGTGATAGCGGCGTGGCCGGCGCAGTCCCCGGCCGGCCGGCGGCTGGGCCGCACCAGCGACACTGCCGCCCACTCGAGGGACATCGTCTCACGCACAGCACCGCGACCGCAGCCGTCCAAACAGCTTGGAGTCTCAGGTGGCGCAAGCGTAATGTCGCGCTGCGGTCCACGTCAAGGCTGCGCGGTAAAAATTCGCCCTAATCGACTTCCTGCCCTGCTACGAAGGCTGTTGTGGAAAACAAACGGCAATTAGGCGACGATTGGGGCCGCATGCGTCGCCTGATTTGCCTCCGAATAGCTTGGCGACGAATGGCTTGCGGCCCGAGGGTGTGACGTCACGGCTCAATGTCATCGCCGCGGCGCTTTGGGCGCATTGTTCCCGCATAGCCGGCGTAAGTGTTTCGGCTTAATGGCAGCAAAACCCTACCATTAATCACCGACGGTAAGGCGAGAAATCAATGAGTCGTCCCGAAGACAAACGATCGTTTTGGTGCGGGTCGCGCTCGGCCGCGCCGGCGGCGCAGCGGTGACACGCGTTCGGTGGTGGCCGGCATTTTTGTCACCTGTGGCCGGTCGTCCGGCGACGCGAG